ATATGCAAGAGACTCTGACTATCAAATGTTTAAGTCAATCAAGATCTAACTCTGAAAATTACTCAAGACAAAAAGGGAAGTTTCTATTCCTCATTTATATTTAATTCAGGAGGAGATTCATCATCTCAGGGGGAGTTATAATTATTCTCTTCTCAATTAAACAAAATTTCTGATGTTTTTGTCATCATCAAAAAGGGGGAGATTGTTAGAACACAGATTGGTTCTTAGTAAATATCTCTATGTTTTGATGATAACTATAATGAAATTTTGTATTGAAGAATTATATACTCTAAAATTTTCTTGAGAATGTTTACTGCAGATATCAAAATAAATATCCTCCAGAAGCAAATCAGAGCTGAACATAAGAAATAAGCAAGGCTCTGAAGTGTCAGATGCAACCATTAGAAGATTCTGAAAACTGCCATCAGAAGATCCTGAGCGTTGTCTCCAGAAGGATCTGAAGCAGAAGCTCCAGAAGAATCTGAAGCAAGTCAGAAGCATCTGAACCTTTGAAGAATTTTTGTATGAAGAGTTTTTCAAGCATAGTTACTTCAGAAGACTCTAAGAGTACTAACGCTGCCAGTACTGAGGATCTGACCAAAACTCTGCTCTGAATTTATACACGCTAAAAGCACACCTGCTGCAAAGACTCTGATTCAGCAAAACTCTGATCAACATCAGAAGGCTCTGATCAAATTAGACTCTGATGGTTCTTGCTGAAATCTGCTGAAGAAGTATTCAAAGATTATGTCCGTTGGAATATCCAAACGAATCTTTCCTTATTTATGTTAGACACAAGACCACAGACAAAAAGGATTTTTCTGTGCTTTCTTCTTCTAGGAAAGGTCACTTGATGTGAAGACAAAAAGGCTCAGACCTTTTGGTGCACACTGCTCAACGTGAAGTTTTCTCTTGGATCATTGTGCCTATAAAAGCAAGTCATCACTCATCTTCTTCAGTTGACGTTTTATCTGAAAAGAAATCATTATCCAAAGCTCTCATTCAATTCACATTCTTTCTAGAATTAATTTCTTTGTTCTTAATATTAAGTGAAAAATCACAGTTGTGATAAAGCTTTATTAGAAGCAATTTAAACACTTGTATTTGTTATTACATTTGATTGTAAGATACCTTAAGAAGATCCAGTTAGGATCAATAGTTCTTGAGAAGACTTTGAACAGTTGTTCTTAGTGCTTACTATTGTAATCAGTTGATTAAATAGTGGATTAAGTCCTTGTTTGAGAAAGGCAAATCACTCTAGGAAGGGTGGACTGGAGTAGTTGAGTTCAACGAACCAGGATAAAAATACTTGAGTTTTATTTCTAAGTTTTTATCTCCATACTTATTCAACCCCCCTTCTAAGTATTTTCTCACCTTCACACAGGCATATGTCATGAATTGAAGGGAGAAAACTCTACCCTATACTTTTTTCAAGATGAAGCGCCAACCAACAAAGAGATGTTTGATCATAAAAATTGAACCTCAATGGCTAACCTAGCACCAAAAAATACCATTGCAAGGAACTTTATTCCCATTAAGGAAGTTTTACCTGATTAAATAAAATGCAAGATAAGCCGCTTTCGTTATGTGTTTTTTCAGATTTTCATGTGAATCGTAAAATGTAATCACTTCATTATCAAGATAATAAATGTTTTGTTTAACAAAATTATTCATTATAATATTATATGAAAGACATGTTCATTCTTAACCTGCACAAAGTCTATATCACATACATGAAAAGAGTATTGTTAAACACACTGCGTGTATGACTAAAGCAAATAAACCATAATTACGAGATGTCATGCGATCAAGGAAACCAAAATCTTGAACATGAAGGTGGTAATATAGGTTGACCCCCCTCTTGGTAGCTATCCACTCTAGAGCGCAAGAGGTGAAGTGACAAGCCACAAATGTATGGCAATATCAAAATAATACAAAAGATTATCATTCCTCATAGACCATTTTTTGACTACCGAGTTCTATTGATTATTTATTTACATAAAATGGTCGATGATTCAGTTTGGAATATTGATTTTGTTTTATAAATTAAAAATCTTAAAAATAGGACTCAGGGTCAATGATTCATATGTATAATAGTCTCATTCAAACTCTAATTTATTATGAGAAAATGAATCCAATTTGTAGAAAATTATAGTGGACAACACATACTTTCGTCTGCGTGTTCTCTCATTCTAAGAAAATATTCCACCTACTTTCTTCAACGTAGCATATTTATTTAGAATCAATTTTAAGCATAACTTTGAAAATGAGACTTTCTCAATCGAATTCAACACACTTTCTTTGTCTTAACTCGGTTGTATCGTGTTTTTGGTTTGGATACCAAATCATACGTTTTCAGCATGTGCATGGTATCTAAATTTCCTTTACTTTCGTAAGACGTATGCATTAAAAATTAGAAATACCATAATAAGCTTTATAAGTTTTCTCGTAACAAAATGATCGAAAATATACATGAGATTTGTCACAAGACAGTCCTTATGACCCTAAACCCTTAGAAAACTACTCAAACATAATCAAATTGAAAGCATGCATAACAATATTCAAAGACATGCACATATAACAGATGAAAGCAAAACCTGAATTGTAATGAAATTACGGTCGCAACATATTGTTACAGGATGTTCGTGATTTCCATTGCTTCTTGCTACTCAAGTGCTTTATTTTCTTGATCATCAGTAACTAGTTCCATATCTTTAGTGTGACTGAAACATAGATAAAATAGAGATTTTTGGCAGCAAACCAAACAAAATGAGAAGAAAAACTCAAGAGAACTATAACAATACCTAGGTAAAAACGATGAAAATACTATGGATCACGAAGCCCTTATAGGTCGACCTAGAACCAAGTTTTCATTTTTGGACATGGAAGAGGAACATACCTTTGGTAGGGTGCGCTCCTTAGAGATGTCCATTTAAATAGATATGCATGACCTAGCCATGACTAATAGAGACCATGAACAATAGCCTTAAATCAAGGACGGTAGAATAAGAAAGATAATTGTCGCATTAGAAACAACAAAGAGTCAAGCTCATACAAACAAGAAGAGGAAAATAACAAAGAATGTTTCATTCATTAACAATATCCATACAAGCAAACAAGACGAGACCGTTCTGAGAGGACCAATGGGTACACGAAAAAAAATACTATAGCCTAAGAGGAAAATTTCACACCAAGAATAACCATTTTTCCATCCACTATTAACTTTTTGGGATAAATCTTCTCCTTCGATATTTTTACCCTGGGGTGATAAAATTCTACCACCTTCAAGAGAATCTTAAAGGCCATATGCAAGATGGAATAGATGAACCCAATGACTTATGAATATTATTTTGTTATATGAACCCAACTCCTTTCGAATATTCTTTAGTTATATGAACCTTTTTGAACTGTACCTCCTACAACTTCTCTTGAGATGCTTTTAAAATAATTCGAGCTTCACTCAAAGGCTTTTCCAAATCCTCTTATGAGAATATTCCATAGCCCCATTCACATTGGCCAGAGCAGCTTCCGTATCGAAAAACATCTTCAAGGAAGTAGTTAAGTCCATCTATTTCTCTTTTATCCACATATTCAACTACTTCATCTTCTTATTTAACAAATAGAGGTACACATGCATTTTCACCTTATTGGAAACTTCTCTTAGAAGTTTCATTGACTCAATAAGTTCTTGAAGGAGTTTTTCCCTTTCAACAACAAACACATAAAGAGGTTAGTTAAAAATTTCCTTCTCCTTTCGAAGACTCCTAAGCTCCAAAGCCTCACTATTTCCTATGGCCTCAAATCCAACAAAGAAATAACCTTACACATTTGGTATAACATTTCTACCATCTCCGCTTACCCGCATAATATGGATAATCCTCTTCAGAGATGTAATACTGAAGCCCCATATTTATCGTAAGACCAGGATGGACAGAGAACGATGAAGACATGATTGTCGGGGAGGGCTACAAGCTCCCTTTATGATCCAACTTCTCAAGCACGACACCTCATCTTGAGGTCTCTTAAAGTCGAACTCTCCAAAAGAAGGGACATCATTCATTCCCCTCCTTTGTGAACCTTCGCCAATCGCCCTAGACGAAGGCTTATGAATAGTCTCACCATAAAGCATGCAAGAAGATTCTCATGCTTGTGCTTGATTACCTATAATACGATGAAGTCCTATAGACAATTAGTGACCCCATGATCTGCAACCAAAATCAAAGAAGTACCAAAGCCAGATCAATAGTCAAGATATGACCTCAGTCTTGTTACGACACTCAAGCTCTATAAGAGCATTATCCATTCTCCTAGAAGCATAAAATATCATAGAAGATTTACATTGCAAAATGTTTCAGTTACAAGACAACCATTTTATACGTGTGTTCGCAAGGTCACCTACTCCTACTCAATACGCAATTGATCTCTTCCCCAACTCGGATGACGGCCTAGGGATCTCGAAATGGTATAATAAGACCGTACTCATCACTTTTATAACAATCCTAACACTTTTATAATTTTACAAGTAACCTCCTTTCTACAATATAAATCGTGCCACTAAAAAAAGGGTTGTCTCACCTTTACAGTATTTCATAACAAATGAATATTAATACTACTTCTAATTATTTATATAAAAGACAATTTATTTTTTAAATTTATTAAATAATCAATATATTTAATAAATTATAAACTAAATATATTAATTATTAAAAAAATCTTAAAAATAAATTATTTCTTATAAAAAACAGAGGGTATTATTATAATTATGTTTAGAAGGAAAACAAATACATCTAGTAAATTGAAATGGACTTAACTAAAGACATTTTTTAATACCGATGCTTATACTTAGGAATTAAAATAAAAAATCTAGCAGCAGGAAGAATGGAATTGCATTGATTGAGTGGTACTAGTAATATGATATATCATGAGGTATGAACCAATAGCATCCAAGGAAAAAAAATCCAATCAAAATTACCAAAACATAAATTCCAAAATGATGAAATTCACAAAACAGCATTTCTGTTTCCAACAGCATAGCTTCTACTTCTTGGATAAGAATTTCCCACAACAACAACATCACCAACACCTTCACCCATATCACTAGCCCTTTCTTCATCAATCCGACCCATTCCAACACTAACGGATTTTGGTAACCCGTTCGTTGAAACGGGTTCTTGCTTGAGAACCAAATCCATATCAATCCGGTTAACCAAAGTTCTAGCTGAAGCAGCTCTCATTAAGTCAACAAAATCCTCGCTATCACCAGCACCAGCAGATCTGGTTGTTACCGCGCTGTAACTTCTTGGTAGATTCTGGAATCTTCCAGTAGAATCTACTGGTTTGCTGTAATTCATGTTGTTCCCGCACTTTGTTATGCTTCTTACGTACATGTCTTTGGCTTTACCTAGTACTCTTATCGGTGTTGTTATTATTCTCACAATCTTGTTCTGTTTTTGTTCTTTCCCAGTTTTCCTCATCTTTAAGGTGGTTTCTTCAAGTTGAACTGAAAAACATGAATTAATGAAAAAACTAGATAGGAGGAGTTGGTGAAATAAAGAGAGGATTTATTTATTTATTTAATGAATGAATAAATTGTAGTTTATTTGGAAGTGTTAGGAGGGAAGGTGGGTATGAAGATGTGAAATATATTATTGAGAGGAGAGGGCACCCTGATAAGATCAAAGTTGTTGCGTTCAACTTAATAATAATAATCATTGGAGTTTATTATATTAAGGTAGGTACAAATAGGGATGGTAAAAACCTGTCAACCATATATCGGCATAGTTTAATAGATATTTATGAATAAAATTAATAAATATTTAAATATTTACTTTTTAATAAATATTGATGTAAATTTGATGATAAGTGTGTTTATAATATTCATATTTGATAATAAATTATAATTTTTTTATAAATATTATTAATTTATTATATTTAATATTTTTATCTTCTAAGTTTTTTTTAAGAAAATATTTCACATTCTATACAAATTATATTTTGTCATTTCATATTCAAATTTATTTTATATTTTATTCATCACTTCAATAATTTTACAGTATAATTAACTATTATAACTCTTCTTCCATTCAATCAATATCGTCATTCCTACTTCTCTATCGTTCGTTCTTCTATTATAATTTACAATCCACAATATATTTCATTTGTAAAATGAAATGTATTAATAATATGCTTGGATGATTTTATGTTGGTGAAAAAGAAAAAAATTAATGTTTAAAATTTTGTTGGTAAATTAAGAATGGAATGAATGGATAATAATTTATTTTCTTTAAACAAATCTAAATTTATTTTTAAATTAATTTTAAAAAATTATTATACATAAATATTAATAAATATCCACGAATATGTTTAAACACGTAAATGACCCGCTTGCACGGATATTAACAAATACAAAAATCATATTTATTCAATAAAATATATTTATATATCATATTATCTGTTTCATGAATTTTCATATCTGTTTCATTTTTCATCCTTAGATACAATATTAGTTTAGATACAACGTTAGTTGAGTTCAACTTAGTATTAGTATATTATGTTGACTTTTTAGGGAATGCGTAATATCATTTGAATTCAACTTAATATTACATTTTGACTTTTTTGTACAAGAATACGTAAAAATTAACCTGTAGTATATTCTTTTATTACTATTAATAAAGTTATGTAATGAACCGTCATTATGTTATAGTGTAGGCATTAAAAAAAGTGTATTAGTATATCTGTAGTCACTCCTCCAGGGCGGCTAAGTTGAAAAACATTACCACAAATTGAATAAAAATCTAACCATTACATATAATGGAGGCTGAGCTTGACTCTTCTTCTACTACAAGACATAAAACCCTTCCAATCTTGCAATTATATTAATAATAATCATCAATATATATTAATATTAATAAGAATAATTTAATTAATTGTCACATTTTTTTGGTATACTTGTCTAATGGTCAGAAAACACCTTTTTTTTCTCAATGAAATACACATCTGTTTTGAATTATAAGTTATTTAAAAAAAAATTATCTCAAAATTATAATACAATATTAATGATATTTTTTTAATATACCTTCAAATATTTATTATTATTTATTTTTTTAACTTTTTTAATTTCTCTATTCTGTATAATTATGAAGAATATTATTGTAATCTTATATATAATTTATTTTTTTTATAAAATAATAATAATTAAATATTTTAATTTTTGTGAAATGGTGAAAATGTTTCATAAAGTCAAGTAGACCATTTCTCTTTCTTAAATTGGTTTATCAAGTTTGTTGATTTTGTAGTAAGTGTAAATTTCTGAAGGTATTAAATATAGTTGGGGTATCTTAGTCAACACATGATATTGAACCTGTCTCTACCAAATACCAAGTCTTTAGCATGTTCCGCTTTACCGTGTCTTATTCGTTTTTGTTTTTTTGGTCATTACACTCAACTCAAGTAAAAAAATGGGAATAAGAAAAAAACGACAGTACAAAGCATTATAGTGTTAGGCAGTAACCTAACACTCAACAGTAATTTAATTGTACAAATTAAAAGTAAATTATGACTTATTAAACAATAAAGATTTAATTTAATAGCTAAAATAATATTGTTTTGAGACATTGGAGGAGAATTTTTTATTGCATCCTATAAGGTTCTCAGACGTAAGTATATAATAGTAGGAGAATTATTATTGCACTCTATAAGCTTCTAATACATTACGTGAATTTCGATATATGTCTCGTGATTTTAAAGATATATCTCTGAACATAACCAAATTTTGAAAAAACGTTAACATATTTCGGAAATACATCTCTATAACCATTTTACACATTCAGAATACGTCATGCATCCATAACCCATTTACATTTGAAATATTTGGAGATGCTTCTCCCGTGATATTCCGGAGATACATCTCCGAAGTGTGTCAGAATAGGTTTTAATGTGTTGTGTATTTGTTTTCAGATGAAATAGCAGACATATAAATTAATAAAAGACAAATATTACGTGTGTCGAAAATAATATAGCAATACAATAGTAAAATGTCGTACAACATGAGATTAAAAATGTATTAACAATGTCAGGCATAAAGTACAAACTATAGCACTACATCAAAATAATAACATGCTACTACTGGGTGTGCTTGACAACCTCTCATCTACCTCCTCAGCCTCCTCTGCCATCAACCATCATCTGTCCTCCGACGATGTCTACGGTACAACGCAGTGCTCCCTGTGCCTCCGCCATAATGGCATCTAGGACTCGCCTGACCGCAGACCCCTCAAGGAAGATACCCTCGTCGATACCTGCTCGTGCAATCTCCACTATGCGACGACACCGAGGCAAGACATCCTTAGTATGATCTAGCTGAGCTTGTTGCTCCTCTAAAATCTCCTAGTGAACTGGTCTCGGCGGATCTCCTGGAGCAGTCAGCGTCATGTACACAAATGTGAGACCCTAAAGAACCATCTGATGCATCCGTCGATGTAGCTCTAGTCATTGACGCTATGGTAACCCGAGCCTCCTACACTACCAAGTGAATCTCATAATTAGCAAACATTTCTTCTATATGTCTATGAGACAAGACAGGAGGAGTAGAGACAACAAGGTGTATAGGGATGGTCTGAGTGTACTCGAAATGCCGCATGACGCACTCGGGGAGATAAGAGACAATGATTTGGGATCCGCAAGCCAGCCATCCGGAATATAGTGATATGTCGTCAAATGGCTGCGTCTCACGATGATCCACGTAGCTGTTGAAGTGCATGTCCTTAGCAACCAAACGGTCAAGGTAGACTCTAAAAGGCTATACCGCCTAGTTCCCTCTCAGCGGGATAAAAGCATAGGCATGAGGCATCACCTTAGTGTACTCATCCACACTCGCCTAGCCAGCGATGCGCGAGAAGTGCTGGAGGATCCAAGCCTGAAATAAAAATAAACATAAAAATCATTCAGGGATCAAGATTTATCGGTAATGGTTTCACAAATATGAAATGAAAAAGATAAGATAAAAAAACATTCAAGGATAAAAAATTATTACCACTAGTAGTGTCGTGTTGCTTGTGACCTGTTTCGTCCTCCATCGACATCCATCTCTCAACTTCGAATACAAATAAGCCAGGAAAGCCGCCCCCTAATTGTACTCATGGATTCGAGTGAGATTCAAGAAGTGTCATAGGTATGCAACGTCAGTATAGGTGACACTCGTGTCCACAAAAATGCAAGTGCCAATAAAAAAAGAAAATATGACCTCAAAGTACGAGCCTTGTGTTCCGCCACCTGCTCAACATCACCATCATCCACCTTTGCAGCAATGATCTCCTCATCATATCTCTCCTTCGGGAACTCAAACCTAACATGAACACCCCTGCTCCTATCCATCTCCTCAATCGCCTTCCTTGGATCAGCCCCCAGATGCTCTACCATCATCTCGACTGCCTCTTATTTGGTCATCCTACCATGATCGAGGAACTTCCCCCTGATAGGAAGATGTAACAAACACGAGACATCGTCCAGTGTGATAGACATCTCACCACGTGGGAGATGAAAAAAAGACGTCTCAGAAAGTCATCTCTCCACGAATGCATTCAACATCATGTGGTTGAACAAAGTGTAATTGGTCATGCATAGGTCACTCAACCCAGATAAGGTCAGAACCGACTGAAACCACTCCTCGTCCAGCTGAGGCAAGCAAGCAATCTTCCTCCCATGGTTTAAAAACTTATAGGGATCACGCACCTGCGATTTTCCAGAAATAATCAATGTCAGTAATAATCAGTGTTAGAAATGATCAATGTCAGCAATTTAAATTAACGTAAAAAATAAATAAATAATTAGACTAATGCTACCTCTCCATCCCAGATATGTTTGGCAGTATGGTCTGGATACAAAGGAAGTAGGGACATATCAGATGGACCTCTGCTGAATCCCTTTGACTTGCCATCCTCAATAATCTCACCCTCCGAAGGTGGCACTGCATCAACGGGAGGTGGCACCGGATTAGCAGAACTGGTGCATCCTGACGCCTGCAGGAGGATAGGAAAAGTAATGCGTCAATTGGTGAATCCTGTCTCCTACGGAAAGAAGAAGAATAAGAAGGTGGAGTGGCATGAGATAAAGTGGCATGAGGTGAAGGCCAAGCCCTAGGACTAGACTGCACTCTAGAAGTCGACGCCTCTGCTTGACCAGATGTACCTGCTGCCTCTGGAACCTGTTGTCTCCGCTCTCGCCAAACGGATGCGTGTTGGGAAACCTGGTCATGTCTCAGTCTGTCGACACTATCAATCATAATACCTGTAAGATAAATTATATTGTATCATCAGTGCAAACAACATAAATAAACAAGAAAAAAAACAGACTGCAAATATTTCGGAAATACATCTCCGAATTGTCTGCAACTCAAAAGCTACAATAAGGGCATAATGTACCTCATGCAATGTGAAAAAAATGTCATGATCGCCATTTTGAGCTAACAAACATGTCA